TATATATATATATATAAAGACAATAAAAAAATGGATAATTGGGTAAATATTAGAGAATGCTACACCATCTAGCTCATTACCTGAACTTTTTATTTAATGTGTTGCTCTTAGTTGGATTGAATGCAATATATAATCATGTGGGGTATCAAGCTCTCTCTCCTCTCTCTCTCTTAATCATAGCTCCAAAAAAATCTTGATGAGTTCTGAATTTAAGATAGATAGATAGAGAGAGAGAGAGAGATTTTGTGAGTGTGGGTTATACTCGCTCTTTTTATCCTTAATTTTTGAAGTTATCAATGTCATTTGTAGCATTTCTTTACTTATATTAGGAAGTATATTCTCAATGAGGGGTAATTGCGATATTGCATTACTTCATTCCTATTGTTTTCTCGTTGATTGGTATAATGAGGCATTTTCACTACCCAAATATTTTGTAGCATAGTAACAGTTCCCTTAGATCAGATATTTTGACGCATAACATCAGAATAATTTATTGAAAATAAAAAAGTCAGAATTCAATTGCCATTCGTACTGTCCTATTTATTTACTCCTTTGTCTGGCGTCACAAATCGGCGACTCTAGTTGTAAATTAGAACAAGTCATCGCTTCAATTTTTTTAGATTTTAACGTGTATTTTTTCTAGGAAACGATGAAACAACTCTTGCCATTTGGATAACTTCAGAAACAGGTTATATATATGTATACACACACACATATTGGTGTTGTGCTGAGAAGCTTCAGTAACTATCAAAGTAAACTGTGGAATACAATTAATTACATGAAGCTTAACCAAACGATAATGGGTGATTGGAATCTTTCTTAGTTAATTCCTCAGGAGGGCCAACAAAAATAGATCCAATATTGGTTATGTTTCATTGTAAATAATGATTAAACAAAGCTCAACAAAATTGACATTAATTAATATAATTATTAAGTGATGTACGGAGATTTCTTTCATCATTGTAAATTCTCTTGGAATCTGAATTTTTATGTAGCTCATCTTGATTTGTTGGTTAGAAGTTTTGACTATCAATTAAAAGGTCTGGAGTTTGATGCTTGTGTATATGATGTGTGTGTGAATTTGACTTAATTGACTAAAAAATCTCACAAAAAAATCTGAATTTTAATCCCTTATATTTTATGCCACCAGTGATTGATGTTACCTTAAAGGCATGCCAAGGACACTAACAGTTTTTAAATTCTTGCAAATTTCTCCTCGCTCAAAATCCTCACAATCAAATGTGCGGAAATAAGTGATAGAATAAATTAGATGTGATAAACTACTTTATTTATTGATATTCTACATAATATAATTAGTGTGACACACAACTAAAAAGTTTAAATGTTAATGCAATTGACGGACTCCATATAAATGAGTTAATTACATTAGTTAGAGTAGATAAATCTCCAACATCAAACAAGTAAAAGCTATTATCCATGTTGATAAGCAAATCTATGCTACGTGACAGTATTAACTTTGGATCATAAATAATTAGGCCTATTCTATCATAATGCCATACAAATGACGCAATAAATATTTGAACATGCAAGATAATTTTGTAAGTACACAATAAATAAATCTAACTATAAAGTAAATGGGCAAAAGGATTTTTATATATTTTAACATCAATCGGTCCTTATCTACACCTAAGCCATACTCTTCACTAAGGATTCTACTAATCAGTTGCAATTACTAGTCAAATTCGTTCACTTCTGGTGTTGGTAAAGAACCCTTCACAACATGCACAATCTTCCTAACTAGTGAGTGCGACCAAAGCGGCTATTCTTCACTGACTAGGCAACCCATTTCTCCAATATACTTTAGATTCTTTCCTCACAAGTATTTTATATTTTGGTGGTAATTAAGGCTTCGTTTGGAATGGATTTCTTACTGCTTCTTAAAGCAGCTTTTTAGTTCAAAATTTTAAAAATTTGTATTAAAACGTTGCTTTAAGAAGCAGTCAGAAAGCCGTCCCAAACGAAGCCTAAGTCTGCCACTAAACAACTAAATGCTACATGGTTTTTTAGAAAATTGATTGTTGAGCAATTAAAATACAAAATATTAAGAGACTGAGTGGAAGAATTTTACTTAACAACCAAGCATATTTTTATGATGAGCACTTCAAATCTTCTCCAAATGCCACCAGAAAATAGCATACTTTTGCTTTTAGAACATTTTTTTTGTCAATAACAATTAGACAGTAATTACTAATTAGTCCGTCAAAAATGATTTTTGACATCAATAAAATTGCCAAAAAAAAGTGCCATTCTAGTCTATTTCCAATGAATTAGACTGTCAGTAATTGCAGACGATTTACTATCAGGATTCTACTAACACTTCTAAGCAAATATGTCATTGGAGATTCTCAGCAGAATATCCATTTTTCTTCAGTAGCTTGCAAGCACAATCCACAATCCATAACCTGTTTGTTTAGCTGATTCGCTAGAATATTCTTTTCCTGCAGTTACCCAAATTTTTAATTTGCCCACCAGGAAGAGCTCAGGGTGGGCAATTGCTCACACTGAATTTTTTTTTCCTTCGACGAATAAACATTTTAACTATTTGCCCACCTTTAACAAATGCAATTACCCAAATTGTAAGGAACAACTTCCTTTTTCTATTTCATACATAAAATTATGCATTTTAAATTTTTAATTTGCCCACTCTCAAGAGAGAGGTTGGTTACGCCCCTGCCTATCGGGAATCGTTGAAAACATTTAATGAAAATTTTTCACGAATATTAACATGTTACCATATAGGGATAATGGTAGTGCAATTTTAATTTCTCCCCATATTCCCAATCAAACCCCTTGGATTCCTCTCCTCTTTGGGAATGAATTCAAACCTTCTCCCTCCCAATCCCTCTTAGCCCAACTAGGCCAGCCAGCAGCCCTCACTTCTCCCAAACCAGCCGCCTCCCTTCAGGCTCCTCCACGGCTGAAATTTTCTCAGCTTTTCTCTTCTCCATCAAGGCTGAAACTTCTCAAGGCCTCACCTAGGCTTGCCGATCCCGACATCGACCACGGCTTCGTCTTTGATGATCAAGGAAGACGGACAAGACGTTGGATGCTCACTAGTCATCCCATGGACTACCCGCCACCGGCTACCACTCCAACGGACTACACTTTGTGCACCATTTGTCTCCTAGTGGCATCGCTCGGTTGCTCTCAATCTTCCTCCACTAAAAGTGCCACCAACAAGAGAGTGAGTGAGAGACCAAGGTGAAAAGTTCTATTTGTTAATTGTGGGTTATTGTTTCTCCCCAAAACGTTACTCTCTAATTCTATGTTGTCAATTTGATATTGTCCCGTTAATCTAGTTGTAACCGCATGCTTTACTTAATTTCGACTTGATAATTCCGAAAACTTATTTTGGGGAAGCATTAATTTTATAACTAGCAAAACTTTAACAATCTTATATTAAAATCCACAAGCAGTTCTTGTTCATCGCATGTTGTTTCACATCATCTTGCTATGTGACAGTATTAACTTTGGAGCATAAATAATTAGATATATTCGATTATAATGCCATACAAATGACTCAATAAGCATTTGGAACATGCAAAATAATTAAGTAAATACACAATAAATAAATCTAACTATAAACTAAATGGACAAAAGGATTTTTATATGGTTGAACATCAATCGGTCCTTATCCACACCTAAGCCTACTCTTTACTAAGGATTCTACTAATCAGTAGCAATTGCTAGCCAAATTCGTTCACTCCTGGTGCTGGTAAAGAACCCTTCGCAGCATGCAAACTTCTTAACTGGTGAGTGCCACCAAAGCACCTAGGCTTCATTTGGGATGGCTTTCTTACTGTTTCTTAAAATAGTTTTTTAGTATAAAAATTAAAATATTTGTATTAAAAAACTGTGATCTTTACGCAATTGATCTCAACGTAATTAAATACATTGTGTAGAGTTGTTATTGTTAGGGAACCATGAACCAAATACAATGAGAAATCTTAAAGAGAATCCAAAAATATCCTTACAATCAAAATTTGTTTAGGAGGTGCTTCCATCTTAGACCTCCGACATATATGTGAAATTTCTACACTTTTACTTATAAGTTAGCCCCCTTTTGAAAATTAAGGTCGGTTTTGCCCCTGCTGGTGGTTATGCTTGTCGTGAATCATTGAAAACTTTTAATGAAATTTTTTCACTAATATTAACATGTTAGTGCAATTTTTTCTCAAAATTTAATGTTATTTTTTCCGGTTTCATAGAATGGAGAATGGAGAATGGAGAATGGAGAATGAAGAATGGAGAATGGAGAATAGAGAATGATGGGTATTTGTTGTAAAGACATGAAGGCTAAATAGTCTCCAACATATACCAAAAATTTCATTCTAAGCTAGCTAGCTATTATGCCAGAGTTCATATGATTGCATGTAAGATCCTTGATTATTATATGTACGATCATTTCAATTTTAGATGATTTTTTTTTTGTCATACAAACTATTTAAAAACTATATCTACGAATGATCAATGTGAAAAATATGGCAAAAGTTGTTTGAATACATGCAATCAACTACAAAATTTATAAGGGTTTTGGGGTAAGTTTTTCCTTCCTTTTTGCTGCCACAGGACAAATTTCATTTCTTGAACATTTTGTGTTAAGTTTTTCTCATAGGCAATCAGCTTCAATGTAACAATCATACAGAATACCTTAAAAACGATTGAAACTAAACTCCATACTAATGTACAACTTTCTTATATATGGCTATGGCTAAACTACAAAAAAAGAAAGAAAATAAAATCAAAATTCATTCCTCTTCTGGTATACTCTCCAAAGCAGAAGTCCTCACCAAGCTTCTTTGCTTCTCGGTCCTCATATTCTCTCCTACTACTCTTAGAAGTCCAGGGACTGTAGTTCTGCCAATACAAACTCCTCCATTTTTTATCATCTCTATCAGTTCCTGCTTGCTGAGCACAAGCCTGATCCTCGTAACTCCTACTGTGTTGAGTTGCTGGACCATCCTCAATCTCTTGTTAGATATCTCATAGCCGAGGCATTTGAACAGGGTCCGATGAATTTTCAGAGAGGTTGGATTGCTAAGTTTCACCTCATCTGTTCCTTTGAATCTGATGGCCTTCCTTTCCTGGAGCACTAAGCAGTTACCCATGATGAAGCTGCTGCTGCTGCTTATTAGCTTGTAAATGTTGAAGGAAGGAGAAGCTTTTGGAGGCTGTGGTGAGAAGTTTGTCAAGAGATGGGGTAAACGCAGGGGAGGGGGTTTGGTATTTAAAAAATAAAAGTGGTGAAATTGCCCATGGTATTACCAAAATTTACACTATTGTCCGTGCACATCTGCCCTGATTCAACCTAGGGGTGCAAACGAGTCAATACGAGCTCGAGTCGGAGGGCGTTTGAGTCGAGCTCGATTGTCAAATACCGAGCTCGAACTCGAGTCGAGCTCGAGCTCGACAGAGGAAAAAAAGCTCATTGAGCTACTTGAGCGGCATTTCGAGCTCAGTTCGTCTGTTGAGCTTCCATCCTCCTTGTCGCCAGCGTCCACCTCGTTGCCAGCTTGGGTCGTTGAGCTTCCGTCCGTTAGTCTCCGCTCGCATCCATCGAGCTTGCATCGTCGATCGTCCACGTCCGTCAAGCTTGCGTTGTCGACCAAGTCCGTCGAGCTTGTGTCATTGACCGTTTGCATTCGTCGAGCTTCCGTCTGCCTCTTTCGAGCTTGAGTCGTCTGCATCCATCGAGCTTGAGTTGTCGATCATCCGCATCCATCGAGCTTGAATTGTCGAGCCGCTTAACGAGCTCACGGGTCGATCAGTGGGTTGTTTGAGCTCGAGCTCGATAAGCTTTTGAGCTCGAAATTGCGTTCGAGCTCGACTAACAAGGTCGATAAGCTCGACTCGTTAAGCATGTTACTGAGTCGAGCTCGAGTCAGCTCGCAAGCCGGCTTAACTCGGTTGCACCCCTAGTTCCACCTAGTATATTTGATGCATAATGGTAAAACATCATACATATTTTAATGATAAATTGATACGACGTTGTTCTAATCCACATAATATGACATGACACATAAGGGAAAGAGATTTTTATGTGAGCATGATTCAAAAACATTTTTGTTCCTTTAAATTATTATTTTGTTTAGTATTATTTATTATTAGTAGCTATGAAAAAAGTGTAATAATTCTCATCTAAAAATGATGACAAACGTGATGTGATATTAAATAAAGTAGTATTTGCATAATCAGAAGCTAAAGTGACATAAAAAATGAGCAATGGTCATGAAGAGGTGATATAAAATTGTGAATGTGATAATGCATGAGTGATGAGTGATCTAATCTTGTATGGATAAGAAATATTAAAATGGTTGACTTGTTTCGAATATGTTTGACTCGAATTTGATCCATTTATCATATAGATCATAATGTTTAACCCGAGCATGACTTGACATAAACCCGTTAATCTAAATTCAACATGTTTATTACTTAGATTATTCAATTTGTTTGGATCAACATGATCTGTTTAGCTCCAATATAATTCAAACTAATTTGTTTTCCCAAATTCAAAATGATAATCAGATTAATTTTGAGTTTTGGTTTAACTTGAACTCGGCTCGAATTTTGCTGGCAGCACGATTTCAAGCTTGATCTAAACCTGCTATCCCAAATTTGATGAATCTGACTTGTTTATTATTATAGATCTTGTAATTTATTTCAACATTATCTATTTAACCTGAAAATAATCTATTTAATTCAAAATAACTTGTTTATTTGAATTCAAATGATAATCGAATCAATTTGAGTTAAATTTTGGGTTTTTAGATCAATCGGATTACAAATTTACTCATGTCAATCATACATGAATAATTATGTGATCAAATCTAAGGGTAAGTTCATTTATGTATACAAATAAATATATGTTTGTGATTAAATTTGTATAAAGCTAAAAAATAGTTTTAAAATTTTGGGAATAATTTTAAAAAATAGAAATTAATCCAATTGTCATGCAGAGAAAAATCTATGTTTTTTAAATGATTACTATAAATGATTAGTTTGTGCGATGGGCTTTCAATAGGTAAGAAGTTTTAAGCTTCATGTTTGCCCAACTTCGCTGGGCTGGGCTGAACAAAAAGTGGTCAGGCCCAAGGAAAGTTTTTTAATTAAAAATAATTATGTTTAAATATTCAGATATAAATTATAAAATGGGCTTCAGAATTATTTAATTTTTTATTATTAATTATATATGTGAAATTTTTTAAATTATATTTAATTTAAAATAAATTGAATAATTTTGAAGCCTATTCTAAAATAATTTACTGTAATATCCTAATATTTAAATAACGTAATAAAAATCATTGTTTTGTAATATTTTAAGACTTAAATAGGGAGCGTTTAAGTTAACCTAAACCAAGCAATTATACTGTAATAGCCCGAAGAAAATCATGATGATCTCATAGCAATCTTCTGAAAACAAAAATATTAGAAAATATATAGATATCATTAGGCCCAAAAATTAAGTATTTTGCTGCAACTTATTCATTTTCCTTATCCTCATATTTATGAGCAGTATTTTTTATATAAAAAAAATTGGGCAATTTCATAAAAAATTAGAAAATAAATCATAGCACGTTAAAGGTCAATGAAGCTAAATTTTGAATAAATTAATGGCGATGATTCAATATGATTTTTACAAAAAAAAAAAGCTGAAGAAGGATTATTTATTTAATATTTTTTGTATGAACAAATATTTTAATACTATTTTTTATAAGGCAATTCAAAAATTCACATGGCTTGAAAGGTAGATGGCTCATGGCAGTCTACATCATATCAGGAGGAGTCTTTGATTGGAAAACGGAATGAGAAAATATTCAAAAAAATAATAATAATAATAATAATAATAACTAGCATCCCTTTGCTTGACTGACAAACAAAAAATAAATTGGGAATTTACATAAATACCATTTTATATCGTATTATTTACATTTATAATATCTAAAATTATAATATTTCATGCCTAACACCAATAGACAATTTTAATATCAAATATACCACTCATATTTCATTCTTATCATCTATATCATACTATAAACTTTAATATTTTATTTCTTACTTTTATATTTGATTTATGAATAATAGGCATAAATCAAAACTTATTAAAGAAGAACATGCCTTGGGACTCCAATTGAATATTAAATTTAATATCAAATAGGTTGCATATGATTGGTCTTCCACTCATTGAGAAAAAAACCATTTGTAGGACTATGAGAGATTAGGGAGCTTGATGAAATTAACTAGTCTTAAATCCTATTTCGAGAGAAATAATAGTAGGCCAACTTAAGCATATTTTTATTGTGATGTTTTTAAGGTCTATATGAGCAAATAAGGTTTTTAATACTATGATTCTTTTTCATTCTATAACTTGTCTTATAATTGTTTAGTTATTTTCTTCGAGTAGTAGTATGTGTTTTGAGATTTTACTAAAATTACTAAAACATCACTAAAAAATTATAAATAAATTCCTATTCTTAACATAATTAAAGAAGGAAGTTGGAGGTTGTATCGTGATATGAAATTAGAGAGAGTTTGAAGATCCTAAGAATTCAAAAGCTTTATTCGATGTTCAACGCAATTATTATCGCATGATCTTTGTCCAACTTACATCCCCAAACCATCATCATCCAACCATCATTACTCGACTATTATTGATCGATTATTATTTTATGACTATCATTGTCGGATGTTGTTAATAATATTGATGCACTGTCCTCTGAGATATCTTTCCTAGTAACATGCAGAGACTTCACTGACTGGATGAACATGAGATATATCTCACCCTGGAAATCTAACAGCTCCAATAATTCCACCTTTTGGAAGAGTATTTTCTGCACAGCTAGCAAGGTTAAACCGAATTTCTCTTTTCCTATTCATCCTAATAGCAAGGCTACAATTCTATGGGATCATTGGCTTGGGGATGTGCTGCTTACTTATTCTGCTGGCACTACTTGTTGCCATTCGGCAAGGTTGGCTGAGTGGATCAATGATTCTGGTTGGGCCCTTCCATATACTATTTCTTCTGTCCTGAGAAATCTTATTATGGAAACCCCTATTTCAATGGATAGTTCTAACATCTTTTGGAAAAATTTAGAAAAGCCTACATTCAAAGATTATTATTTAGAATATTTTGCACTAAATGATGATTTCCATGCTCATGCCTTGGTTTGGCACAGCAAGCATTCACCTTGGTTTTCTGTTTACTCTTGGATGGCTATTATGGTGGGTCTTAAAACTATTGATGAATTACTAAGGAGGAACATTCATATACTTGACACTTGCTGCTTTTTCTGCCGGGCTTACTCTGAAACTGTGAACCACCTCATGTTTGAATGTGATTATTCATTTAAGGTGTTGACTAGAATTATAACGGCTTTCTCTTGTTTCTATCTTAGATCTAATATTGCCCAGGTGTTTAACTTTATAGGGAATTTGGGGGTTAACCGAAATTTGAAATGTACATATTTATTATCCCTTAACGCCATTGTGTATTATTTGTGGGTGGAAAGAAACAGCAGACGGTTTAATAATGTGGCTATTTGTGCGGTATCTATTGCCAAAAAAATTCAGAGAACTCTAATTCTCAAAATGTCGGGCTGGAAGGATGGTGAAGGGGTCAAGAATAGGCTTTTCGGTAAGCCTTCTGATTAGTGTTGCTGTAATGGCTTGGATGTGCTGTCTATTTGATTATGCTGGTTGGCTTTTCCTTGGCTTGGTGGGGGCCTTTCTTCGGCTATTTTCTTGCCTGTTTGTTTCTGCCTACTACTATCTGGTGGTTATTGGCTGTTTCATATTGTCCCTGTTGAATTCTCTGTTTTGCCGGGTGCATACTTATTTCAGACGGAATTTTTATCCTTTGTTCTGTTGTGGGCTCGTGGAAATTTTTTGGTATTTTTGTCAGGCATTTTTTGGGGTTATGGACAATGATGAAGCCTGCACGTCGCTCCCCTCGGACGGTCCGCGGGCAACTAGGATAGCTTCTTTGGATGTTCTTCGGGCAATCAGGAAAGTGACTATTATGATCTCTGATTAATTTTCTTTCTGAGTTCTCCCCGACAAGGATTCCATGTCTCCTGTTTTTGTCCTTTAACTTTGGTTTTAGCTGTTTTAGCTTCTTTTTGTATTAGTTTTACTTTATTTGTACACCTCTTTATTTTTAATGGAATGGGCTAAGCCCCCAAATTTCCGAACAATTATTACGTCCTCCGACCGGATGCAGAGGAACATCCGGTTGTAGGCAAAATCGCACCTATACCGAGGTTACCGAGTTTTTGACACCTCGGTATAGGCGCGATTTTGCCTACAACCGGATGTTCCTCTGCATCCTTACACCGGACGAAATAAAAGTTACAATTTCCCAAAAAAAAAAAAAAACAAAGCATGCAGAGACTTCATCACATTACTTTGCTACTGCATTCTCCGGCTTCTATTCTTCTGGAGAAATGCTTTACGGCTCTCACAAAAGCCTCCAAGGACCATTAAATGAGCTGCCTAGGCAGATTTTCCTACAGATGCTATCTCGGGGCCACAGAAGATTCTACAGGTTTCTACATATATCTCAAAAAATAGAGATTATTAGTCCGGACTCAACAAGTAATAATTTTTCTAAGGGAGGTCGGCAGCCTTTTTATTTGGATAAATTGTGGGCAAAGCCCAATTACTATAGAAAAAAATAAAAAATTAAAATTCAATAATTATAACTCAACATAATTTACAATAAAATAACATGAGCTGCAACAAAAAAAAATGGGATTTTTACATACATAACACTTAAAACTATGTTATTTACTCATTTAACATCTAAAGTTTTCTATTTACACACATACCACTTAAAACTATTTCTTATTTCTAAAAAACCACTCCGTAACCACTCCGTCCGTGAAATCCCGTTGGCTCACTTCGCAACGCCCTCCACGCCGGAGTTCCGGCGATCAGGCCTCCGCCGCCGACGACGGCCTGGATAAGAACTCTCGAGAAATCAATCGAGAGTTCTTATCCAGCTCTAACGGGAGGATTGGATAAATATTTTGATATTTTCCTCATCTCACAAGTTTTCAAAGATTCTGGAGGCAGTGGAAAAAAAAATGGCTAAGTTGAACTCTTGCCTGCTCTTTTGACTGTGTAAAAAGCAATAGAAAAAAATGGCTTTCCCATTCAGCACAAAGACCTAGCACAAAAAATCTGCTGACCCATATAGAGTTGCAATATATAAAATGCTATTCTTTGTGTTTGGGAGACCACTAAGATTATAAAGTAATTTGTATTATATTTTTTTAATAAAAAAAATTTTATGTTAGGAAGCTGTTAACCATCTCAAACAAAGCCTAAGGCTTCGTTTGGACAGCTTTCGCACTGCTTTACTCGAACTTTTATTTGGTCCGGTGAACGTACGTAGAACTACGTTCGGCCGGCACTAAGATCGCAGGCACAAAACGAGAAATACCAACAATAACGAGAAATACCATTATGTGAAGACAAAATACCGAGTAATACCGAGCAATACTGAGCAATCCCAAAAAGTACCGAGTTTTTTCTAGAAAAAACTCGTTACTTTTTGGGATTACTCGGTATTGCTCGGTATTATTCAGTATTGCTCTTTACAGAGCAGTATTCCTCGTTATTACCAAACAATACCTAGTAATACCTACCAAATACCGAACAAAAACGGAGTAACAATCCTTTGTGATGAATACAATAAAAGTTCACTTTACTCTATTTTATAAAGCAGTAAGAAAACTTTCCCAAACGAAACCTAAGAAGTAGCGAGAAAATTGAGGGTGAAAATCATCCTCATCACATGCCTACTGATGTAGATGCATGTGCTTGAGTTAGTCATTTTGGTCATTAGCCCATCACATGTATTATATATTTTAATTATTTCTGTCTATTATTTTTTAAAAAATTATTATTATTTAGCTCTGAGCTTGCACTCCTGATAATGATATCTACTTCTTTGTCATAGATTAGGAAGCCTCCCATCTCCCTTTCTTAACTGGCTCTCATTTTGGCTTCCTTTGGAAAAGCTTTTTTTTTACTGTTTTCTACAGCTTTTTATACAGCTGCTCAGTTTTATGGTTGGCCTGACAATTAAAGCTTACTTTGTGATCCTTCTAAAACCCCTTTGCCTTATGTGCTTGTTGTAGAGCTTTCTTACTTCCTCTATTTTCATATTTGGGAGACTATGATGAGTTCCTTTACTTATGAGACTTAGGCTTCGTTTGGGACGGTTTTCTTCCTGCTTCTTAAAGCAGCTTTTTAGTTAAAGAGTTAAAATTTTTGTGCTAAAAAGACGCTTTAAGAAGCAATAAAAAAATCGTCTCAAATGAAGCCTTACTCTGACTGTACTTTGACGTAATGCATCGTCAATTTTGTTGTATATGATAATATCGTCAATTTTGTTGTATATGATAATATTGTTATCGATACTACAATAAGTGTCCAGCGTTCTACTTGTATGAATTAGTTGAAACTATTACCCACTCTATAGGGAAAGCTGCATTTAACTACCCACCCTACCCTCTATAGAGGGCAATCACCTTTTTTTTTTGGGGCAATCTCCTCATTTATTTTGGTCGCTCTTCTTCGATTTTCTTCTTACATTTTTTTTTTATAAATTAAGATATTATTTGAGATAATTTTTTTAAGGGATTTACATATATACCGTTTTATTTCATGCTATTTACATATCTAATACTTAAAATTTTATTATTACATGCCTACCACTCATATAAAATTTAAATATCAAATATATCACTCATATATTTCATTCTTGCCATCTATACCATCCTATAACTTATAATATTTCATTCCATGCACCCATATTTTACTCAATTGGTAGTAGACATGTAATATTAAAATTTTAGGTTTTTAAAAAACTACAACTACTCTAAGGTTTTGTTTGTGATAACTTTTTATTAATTTTTAAAACATATTTATAATGAAATTTTTATTTTAGAAATAATAAAAAAATTGTCTCAAATAACTATAAAAAATAAACCTCCCCATTGCTTCAACAAAAATTAGTTAGCACAGAAGAAAGAGTTCCATCCCAACCAATTTCGTGATTTTAATACATGGAATAATCTCAAAAGCCCATTTTACAATTTACAAAACAGACAAAAAACCTGAATCATGAAAAATATTCACCAATAATTTAAAAACAATGTAAGTTTCCATTACTCAGCTAGACCAACTTAATCAAACGCACTACCAAACACAATCCGCATCTACCAAACACCATTCACCCAACCGACCGCCTGCCTATCGTCCCCTCCTGATCTAACGGCGCAGAAGCCGATGTCACGTGCATCTGCCCGTCAAAGTCCCCGTCTCCTCCCCACGAAGCCGGGCGTCTTCCTGAAGAAAACCGCCGGACCGCCCCGAGCCCCGCCGGCGTAGCCACCGAAGATCCCTCCATCGCCGTCGCCGCCGACGGACGTCCCGACCAGGACACAATCTTTTCTGGTGGCGTCGATGCCTCCTCTTCATCCTCTTCAGACTCCCGATGAGTCGACGGTCGGCGGCATCGGAAAAACCCTATCAGCCTCGCAAAGCACCCGCCGGATCGTCGATGCTTCCAGTCCTTATCATCCACTGTCGAGGGCGCGAACACCGACCGGATGTGATGACTCCTCTCTCTTTCCCTATCTGAGAGCACTTTTCCGAAACAGGAAACCTTGGGCGATCCAGGTTCAGGCGGCGGAAGGGCTGATTTCCGATCCCCGCCTCCCCGTTTCTTCTTGAGTAACGTCCGGCCTTTGGGGAGGCGGCGGGCGCTGGCGCCGAGATAACTAGAGTGGCGAATTTTGTTGGGGAGGGCGATGATTGGGGCTTTCGGCTTCAGATTGCCGGAGAAGCGCTGGGAGTTGGACGGCGGCTGTTGCTGCTGCTTCTGATTCGGATGCTGGGATTTAGGATTCGTGTTCCCCTTTGTCGAATCATCCCGTTCGTAAACCGCGTTGATGTCAGTCCAATCGATTTCCTCCCCGATCCGAATCTGAATAGACTCCGCCGGCATGTCCGGATCTTCTTCCGCCCGCTTCGCCGCCGCATCCTCGCCGCCGATCATGGTCTCGCATGCCACCTTGACGTCGCCCCCACAGAGGAGCGTCTCAAGGTCCACCTGAGTCATTTGACGAAATTCCGCAGAGAGAGTGTAGGAGGGCGGATAGAATATAAAGGCTATAGGCTGAGCGGCAAACGACGTGACGGCGCGGCTGACGTCGGATTAGATTAGAACGTAGAAAGGAATGGCTCTGATTTGCAGAAACGATTCCGTAAGCGATTTTGCAAATATGACATTTAGAATTCCGTAGTCCCAAAGTGAAAAAAAGAGAAAAAGAAGGGCTAAGTCGTCCTTTTATGACTTAAGTGGTATTTTCGTAATATGCAATTTTAAAATTTTGAAGGGCCTTCTTGTCAGTTTTAGTCTACTGCAAAATAGATGGAAAACCGTGACCAAAATAATCTAGAGCGGTATAATAAAATGCAACGTGGTGGGAGCATTTCTTACGAAAAAAAAATAATAATAATTGCTTGAAGAACCTTTGTGCAAATATTAATTTGTCACTATTTATTTTATTTAAGATTCATTTAAAATTGTGATTTATCCTACTGATCTTATATTTTAAAAAATAGTTATATTTTTTTGTAAATTTTATATTGTGTTCAAGAGTTTTTTTATATTTCACATGTTGTTTGAAATAAATTTTCAAATTAAAAGCTATTAAATTTATTTTGAGATTAGTATAATATATAAAATTTCGATATAAATTTATATTGCAATTATATGAAAGTAAATTTAAGGGCTTTAAAATTCATCTTTATAGAAAATTTAGTTAACATATCTTGGGAAACTATTTTTCATAAATTTTTTTTTTTAAATGTACATATTTTATTTCCAAAATTAAAAAATGAAGGCACAAATATACTTAAAAATTTGCATAACTACCTTCATTTTTTTACATTTGGAGCATAGATGAATTAGCCAAACATTTTATTTGAATTTTTTAAAATTATAAAGTATAATTTTAAATGAGCTATACATATATATATTCGAGAAATTATTTTGCATGGAAGCCAGTGCAACTCTATGTCTGGAGACGAATCAAGAACATCCACATCAGGGAAACCGAGTTACGGTACAACGAACGAGTGATGTGACACGTTTTAATTAGTCTCTAAATTATTCGGCATCCACATGTAATAATTAATAGTTAATCTATATATTCACATTTTGGCTATCACTGTAGATTTGGTTGTTTGACTATTCCAAATAATCCTATGAGCGGAAGATAGTCGTTCATGTGGGTCCCACAAATTGATTTTGGTCGGATGATATCCTTACCGTGAGGTCAATAATTTTTCCAATTTTTCCTTTGAGAGACGCTGAGGGAGTGCTTCGAAGATAAAATCTGCATCTGACATTTTAACAAAAACAACCCATAGAAAATATATATTTATCTATGTACAGTTCAGGTAAATCTTCATTGAATTTTAAATTTCATATAATGAGAAAAAAGATCCGGTTCGTCTTCGAATTTTTTCTAAGAATCAAAATAATCTTTCACTTTATAAAAACACTAATTTTATCGCTCGATTCTTGATTTGTTTTAGATGACTTTCTTATGTTTCTTAAAGAAAATTTTTAATAGAAAATAAAAAAAAATTTGTACTATAAAGCTGCTTTAAGAAGCAATAAGAAAATCATTTGAACATTTAATTGAAGATTAGTTTTCGTTTGGGATAACTTTTTTATTTCTTTATGAAGCATTTTTTAGTATACAATTTTTTTGAATGTAAATTTTTTTTGGTGCTTTGCTTATTTTGATACTTGATATATTCTCATAAAATTATCTTGATCGGGCATGAATCTCGAGGCAAAATCAACCCATAAACTTCAAAAATTAAATATGGGAGCATCTGAACTCCGATTTCCGCAAACTTACAGTCAAACTGAGCGTCTCATAAATACGAACTTAACGACACCAAATTCAACTCAATCTGAGACCAAATGAGCCCAAATTAAGTGCCCGAAGTGCTTTTGGAAAGCTCAAACCACAATTTGAGTTATCAAACAGTCTTCGATTTTAACGAGCTTATAGTCAAATCAAATGGCTCGACAAGTCGAATCCAATGAGCCCAAGATCGCTGAAATCTGACATCACTAAGGCCTTCAAATGTCTGACGAACGGTGCGCGATCAGAGGATTCAATATCAGCCGTCCATTCAGCCACTCCCTATTTGCCCATGATCTCACATCTATTTACGGGTCATGCCACTCCAGAAAAACTATAGATAGACCCCTCATTTCTCATAAGAGGGAACCCAAGCAAGAAAAAAAGAAGATAATTGCTTCTCCTCGACCACTGCCGAAGTTCTTCGCATCGTTAGAACGACGAAAGAATCTACCGACGAGAAGAACCTCGTCGGACGCCCGAGTGACGCCGAAACTCTGGTCGACTTTGTAACTGAATTTCAATTCAGAAGAAACTCATTGTAATCTGATTGTCCTAACTTATGGGACGAATCAACCTCTTGTATCTCAAATTAAACTAGTAGAACTTTTCAACTGGGTGTGACCCCGTGGTTTTTTTCCTTTCCAGGGTTTTCCTCGTAAAAATCCTGGTGTTCTTTTATCTCATGTTTGTGTATGCTAGATATTCGTACAACGCTCAGACGAAAATTTTCTAACTCTACAGCTGAGTATATTCTAGCCCGGAACAATACTATTTTTTTCATTGTTTTTTAATAACTTTCTATTAAAGAAAACTATTTTCTGTAATTATAGCAACGAAATCATTTTCTATATAGCAACTTCACAACTAATTTTATAAAACATTAAAATTGTCCCAAACAAATCTAAATTAATCATTTGTGAAATCATTTAAGTGTTTATTAAAAAAAACTAAAATTATATTTTTAAATAGTCAAAAATTATTTTGATTATTTTTGTAAAGAGTAGATGTTAATTTTGATATATCTCTTTATATAATAATCGATAAATTGAAATCACCATTAGAACAAATTAATTCTCTAATGGATTTTACAGATCTCGATGCTCAAACATTTGGACAAATTACAGTCCAGATCATGTGATAATCATTTTCTGCTAATGACTTGTTGTTTGATTTGACAAGATATTAATCATAATTATACAATTATTAGCACAGTAAGAATCCAAGGCATCACCATCGTGTCATAAATTTTGATATAAGGCACAAAAGTCTAAGATATTTTGGAAAAAATATTTAAATAATTATTTAATCTTAATATATAAGGTCATTATTCGATCTATTGTTTTTTTTTTTTTTAAATTAAGAGTTTATAGTAGACTACTGATAATATATTATTGAACTTAAGAGTTGCCTTTGGTGGAGGAGAAATTATTACGTGCGGAGGTCGAACACAGAGAACTGTCCAATTTATCTCTGTGAACAATAAAAGCGCAGGTAAGTTGCGATTTTACTGTTCACCACTGTGTTTTTATTGTTCACAGAGGCAAAACCGAACAGTTCTCTGTGTCCGGCCTCCGCATGTAAAAATCTCCCTTGGTGGAGAGCTCTAAGGTAATAAGATGCTTAAACAAATGTAAAAAGCCTATTATATATGTTGCATGATTAATATTTGTTTGGGATGATCATGTGATGGAGCCTCGAGTTTGAGCGACGGGTGCCGGTGGCAAGCGATATCTAACAAGCGGAGATGATAGTTATGAAGGATAATTGAGGATTAATTCATCATTAAGATAGAAGTTCAAGTTTTTTCTTGTTAGATGTGGAGATTTTGGAGCAAGTGAACAATAACTTTTTCATTGATTGGAGATTAGGGGTCTTAAAAAGAATATTAGTATTTTTAAATTTTATTTTTATTTTTTTAGTGATTGTGCACTGTTTCTTAGGTTAATTTGATGTCGTAGAAAAAATGATTTTGATTTTAAATTTTGATATTTATATTAAATTATTTCGAGGCTTTTCTTTTGATCACTATTTAAGAAGACCACTTATGACAATTTATCAAGGAAATAAAATTAATTACTTGATCTAAAACTTATGATAATTTCTTTTCAATCTACTAATAACTTCTGCAAGAAATCATCATCGTTTTAACACCCCCAGTCTACTTTTCTCTTCTCTTGTTATTGGCAGCTGTGATGAAATTTCATGATCCAAGCTATTGAAGTCATGAATGGCAATGCCATAGAAAGAAAATTGGCAAAAGCATTCAAAGGCATGTGTTGTTGAATTGAAAATTTTTGTATTATTAAAATTTACAAACATGAAAATTTAGTCTCTTTATATTTTTTTAAGAATCTGGCCAGTTTAAACAATCGTATTTTATGATCGTATTTATCAAGAAATTTATATTGATAAGTCATACGTCACCAAAAATAGTCTTGATCATGCATGAATCTCAATGTAATTATATGATTGAGACTTCAAAAATAAAAATGGGGACCATCTGATCCCCAATTTCAACAAACTTATAATCGAATTGACATCTTGAAAAGACGAACCAAACGACACCAAATTTGACTCAATCCAAGCTCAAATGGGTCCAAACCACTCCCATCTTGACCTTGATCTCCCTATATTTACAAGTCATGCAACTCTACAAAAGACTATAAATAGCCCCCATTCTTCTCATGAGGAAGAGGAGAAGAAAGGAGGAAGAGAAGGAAAGAATTTGGGAGCTTCCTTGCCGCCAACCATTGCTAGAGTTCTTCCTGGCTATCGTCAAACTTCCACCCATTCATCGACCTCTGCCAGAGTTCTTCCAGACCACTGTAGGACTTCCGCCTGTTTGTCGACCATCGCCAGACTTCCACCGATTTGTCGACCACCGCCGAAGTTTTTCTAGACCCCCTTCAGACATTCTCATGTTCGTCGATCACTAACAGACTTTCACCCATTCGTCGATCACCAACGAACTTCCACCCATTCGTCGACTGCCATCAGAGTTCTTCCTGACCTCCGTTGGACTTCCTCCTATTCGTCGACCACCATCGGACTTCTGTCCATTCGTCGAGCACCGTCGGAGTTCTTCCCAACCTCTGTTAGACTTCAACCCATTCGTCGATCACCTACAATCCTTCTAACCACTGTTACCCGCCGACTATGATCATTCCGACCACAGTCGCCAAACTATGAACCTCTCGACCT